TCACTTAAAGCGCCAAGCTTGTAATGTTCCCATATCATCAGCCGAAAAGACAAGCTTGCTTTGAGATGGATGCCAAAGGTGAGTGAGTATAGTGCTTATTTGTTCGCCACGATGTCCGTCATGACAGAATACTTCTGCCCCATCACTGTTTTCAGATACATCAAACACTTCAACAAGTTTACTGTAGCCTGATAATGACAGTAAGTTCCCTGATGGACTGAATTGTATTTGATGATTACTTATAGTATGATCTTGCACTTCCTTCTTCTTATCAAACACTGCTTCACTTAATTTTCTAGTATCATAAACATTCACTCTGCCATTAGAATTTGCAAAAGCAACAAACTTTTCATCATGGCTAATATCAACTTTCCAAAATCCAGATGAAGTATCAGGAGCTGTGATTTCCTGAATCACCTTCCCTGTTCCGAGTTCATACACATAGGTTATCCCCTTTTCACTCAGGCCTACGTATAGTTTGCCAGATCGATATACTATACTGCTAATACTCAAAGCATTACGGTTTATCTGGCTGGAAGTCAGCAAAGACACCTGTTTGTGTGAAGTTGAAGTTCGTGAGTTTGTCATATCTGTGGCTGACTGGACTGTGCCCAAGGTTAGCATCCACTGTATCATTTCTAATATCTAAAATTGCTCAGTAACATCTGAAAAAATAAATAGGCATTTATCACTGGTAGTAATCAAACAGTTCATATAGCTGAATAATCACTTTAACCAATTTACATAAATTCAATACATTACCAATATTCATAAGAATGAAAGTGTGTGATCAGCGTGTGTGTGTTGTCTGTGTGTGTGTGTGTGTGTGTGTTTTGGTGTGTGTTTGTGTGGTGTGTGTGGTGTGATTTTCCTGTGGTTGTGTGTGTGTGGTGTGGTTGCAGTGTGTGTGTCGTGTTTTGCGCGTGTGTGTGTTTTGCGTGTGTGTGTGTTTTTGCGTGTGTGTATAGTTTGCCAGTGTGTTGGATGCTTTGCGTGCGTGTGGTGTCTTTTGCGTGTGTAGTGTCTTTGGCTGTTGTGTGTGCTTTTGCGGCGTGTGTTGCTTTTGACGGGTGTGTGGGAGGTTGTGAGTTTTGCGTGTGTGATGTAGGGAAATGTTTTTGCGTGTGTGATGTTGATTGCGAGTGTCCTGTGGCCGTGATCAAAAACTCCAAGCAGTGTGTTGTTGTGTTTGCGGGTGTTGGTGTTGTGGTTGTGTTGCATGTTGTGCGATTTTCTAGCATTTTTCTTGATTCAAAATTCAAAGGAAGTGTATTAAAAAAATAGAATTTATACGGAGAGATTAAAGCTGTGAGTGTTGCTTTTGCGTGTGGTGCTGCTTTTGCGCTGTGTGTGTGCTTATTGGTGTGTGTTTGACGTGTGTGGTGTGTTTTTGCGGGTGGGGGTGTTGTTTTTGCAGTGTTGTGGTGTGGTGTAGGTTGCGTGAGGTGTGTGGTGCTGTTTGCATTGTGTGGAGGTATGTGTGGGTGATTGTGCTTTTGCGTGGTGTGTATGTGTTTGGCGTGAAGGACGAGGAGAGGGGAAGAGAGGAGAGGAAGGGAAGAGGAGGCGGAGATGTGTGTGTGTTTTCTGCGTGTGTGTGTTTTTGCTGTGTGGTGTGTTTTGCGTGGGGAGGGGAGTGTGATGTGTTTTTGCCGGTGTGTTGTTTTTGCGGGAGGGGACGAGAAGGTGTGTGGAGGATGGGGGGAGGAAAGAAGGAAGCGAGAAGGAGGGAAGGGGACAGTCGAAGAGGGACTGGTGGAGGTGTGTGTGTGTTTGCGTGTGTGTGTGTGTGTTTGCATGTGTGCGTTATTTTTTGCTTGTGTGTGTGTGCTTTTGCGTGGTGTTGTGTGCTTTTGCGTGTGTGTGTCTTTGACGTGGGGAAGGGGCAAGGGGAAAAAGTGTGTGTTTTTGCGGGTGTGTTTTTTGTTTTTTTTTGTTTGTTTTTGTGCGAAGTGGGTGTGTTGTGTTGCGTGTGGCGGCAAATGTGTGTGTGTGTGTTTGTGTGCTAGTTGTGTGGTGTGTTTGCATGTGGTGCGGGTATGTCGTGTGGTGTGTGCTTTTGGTGGCTGTGTGGGTTTTTGCGTCATGTGTTGTTTTTGCGTAGTGAGGATCTTGTGTGTTTTTTGCGTGGGTGTGGTTTTTGCGTGGTGTGTAGTGGTTTTGCGTGTTGTGTGATAGATGTGTGTTTGGGTGGTGTGTGGGTGTGTTTGGCGGGAGTCGAGGAAGATGGACCGGGGGGGGGAGGAGAGGATGGGGGTGGGGGGTGTGTGTGTTTGCATGTGTGCGTTTATTTTTGCGTGTGTGATGTGCTTTTGCAGTGTGTCGGTGTATTTTGCGTGTGGTGTGAATTTGCGGTGTGTGTGGTGTTTTTGCCTGTGTGTGTTTTTTGCGTGTGGTGTTTTTTTGCGTGTGTGTGTTTTGCTGGTGTGTGTGTGTTTTTGCCGTCGGGTGTGTGTGGTTTTTTTTTTGAGTGTTTTCTTAATGTGTAACACAAGGTTATTATATAAGCACTGAACCACCTGGTTCACAATTAATCATTTTATTTACAGGAAAAAATGGCCCTGAGGGAGAGAGGAGAGAGGAAGAGAGGAGGAGAGAGAGAGAAGAGGGAGAGAGGAAAGAGAAGAGAGAGAGAGAGAGAGAGAGAGAGAGAGAGAGAGAGAGAGAAGAGCGACGAGAGAGAGAGAGAGGAGAGAAGAGAGAGAAAAAAAAAATAACACTGTAAACCAGCTTTACCTGTTGGGTCACTGGAACTTGGGATATTGTATATACACACTCCCTTCGGGCCAGATAAGACAACTTTTGAATTCATAACCAACATCTGAAATGTAATCATAGCTGTCATTGTTAATGGTGTTTATCATTATATATTTTAAAGTCATCTATAAATGACTGCATGCACTTTTATTTTATAGATACATTAGAAAATAATATTCATAACATGAAGGGGAGGAAAAGTAGTACACATCAATATCCTGAGTGAAATCAAGCATTATCAAACTGAGTGATATTACATGTTATAATTAACTTGTAAAACCTATGCACTTGCATAGACTGAAAGCCATTCACTTTAAGATTTTTTTTTATCTGTTACATAGTATACTATTAGAAAAACAATCAAGATTCTATTTGGAAACTTACATCAGAAAAAGTCTCTTTAGCATATATCACACACAATTACCTACAATCAATCTATTAGAAAAGCAATAACACATATTCAATTTGAAAATATTCGACAACCCTCCTTCACACTACCTCCTTCGTCCGGTTTGGAGTGTAAGCAGCAGTAATCAGACTGAAGTCTCTATCTTTCGTGAGGCCGGCATCAGGACCCGCTGTCAGCTTTTCTGGGACACTCAGCTCCCACACTTCATGGGCATGTTCTTAAAATAATCATAATAATAATGAAGATGATGATGATGTTGATAATGATGATGATATGCCTACCAATAAAAAACAACAGCTTATGCTCAATGAATCCTTAGGAATGGTCAATACTTTTCCCTCTAAAGAGACAAATGTTCTTTTTACATATATTGGCCTGTACTTGTCAATACAGGATACATCATATGAGGGCATGGACATCCAAAGGATTTCTCAGACCAAATAAAACTTCTTAGTGACGGGTAGGTTATAGCCATCATACTGTAACAGCCTACTACGTGTGAACACATCATGACTCGCTCCAGATAGTCCAGCTGTACAGAGTTTAGGCCTAGCCACAAAGTCTACACCATTATATAATATTACATCACAAATAAATCAGGCCCCATCACTATAGGGATAGGCAATGGTCTGAGAACAGCAATGGATATGCATGTCCTTATGTCTGCTATGAGTTTAAGATTATATGGAAAGATTTAGAATATCATTTACAAAATATCCACTACTAGTCTGGAAACTATTTTTTGCACAGGCAAGTTTGGATCTTGTTTTTCAAACTGCATGACTGTGAAAGAACTTGATGTTTTGCATGAATATGGTTTGAAAAGAAACTTTCTGAAGTATTTCTCACTATAATAGGAAAAAATCCACTTAGAATACATTAAAAAGAGTGAGTACAGTATTAAATATAATTATTTTTTTAAAGTTAAAGTAAGGTTATGCGATTATAAAGTATCATGCTGTCAATTTACAGAAAAATGCAAAGAACATTTTGCTTTCAGTAATAGTATCTGGGGCACTACTTTTACATATACCCTTTTTGAGAATAATATTTCCTATAAAAAAATTAAATCATAATTTGCATATAGAAAAGAACATATCACATTTCTGTTTAATGAATTGTTAACCAAGAGCAATGCACCAACATAAATGACAACACTGTCCTTACCTCTGGAGGAAGCCAGGAGAAGTCTGCTATCATTACGGAAAACAGCACAAGAGATAACTCCTTGAACATCATACATCAGGAGGTCTTCATATCTGAAATATTGAATTACTATTAGAGTGTTTATAACTGTGAGATAAGGGAGTTTTCTGTTATAAAAGGCAACATTGATTTTGTATGATACAGACATTCCATGACTGACCACTAATTAATAAACAAGTGAGTGTTTCAAAGATGACTGGCCTGATTCCACATTGTATGCCTATTGGTTCTCCATTAAAAGCAATCAAAACTCCACCATATTTTTGGGCAAGAAAGAATTACAATACCTCCCAAGGACTTTCTTGTTCAATAAGTAATTAGTCCAAGCTCTGTCTTTCCAGAATCTGCATGACAGAGTGTGAGGCACTGAGACCTGAGTAATTGCTTAACACTGTGTCACTATCTTGCTAGACTGAAGATTGTTAGCCATACCTTCCCAGACCATAGAAAGTATCATGTGGATTTGAATAAACTACAGCCAATATTATCCAAATAAAAGTAACTGCATGTGTCTTCTACCATTCAACTTTAGAATGACAGGTGAAAAATTAAAATATGAAAGCCTCGACATCTATCAGTAGCCCAGACTGTACAGCTTGGTCAAAGTCTGTCTGCGCAAATGTAGTTCTCGGGTAACTTTCTGCACACTCTTAGTTCTCTTTCGTATCGTCTTCCGAGTATAAAATTCTTTTGACCTTTCCGCACACTTGTTTCCGCATATTCGTCCGCACAAATGTAGACAAATTGATAATTTCCGTGCATGAAAAATACAATACTCCCCATGCAAGAAAAATATTCCACAGTCTGGTCAGTAAAAACATTTTTTTTTTTTTTTCACAAGGGAGAATGAAAGCAAGTTACTCGTTCCAGTAGGTTTTCATATTACCTCCATTAAACCCGGCAATTCTCACCCTTAGCACTGCATCCCTGTGACAAAATCTCAAAGAACTGAACTGAACATCTACCACAGTAAAGAACTGAACTGAACAGTAATGGTTTTAAAGTTATAAGTATACACCATTTCCACACACAAACCTCCGAATGGACTGAAAGAACCATTCATCTTCCGAATCCCCACTCTCTGCTGCGCTGTCAAACATGACGAGGAAGCCAATGGAGGCGTGAAACTCTGCCTCCTCTTCAGGCTTTGTTTACACGCTCAGCTGTTGTGGTCACGTGGTGGGCGGTGAGACAACCCCGCACCCACTCAACTAGTGGGTGCGGGATATATCTAGTGCTGTATTATCATGATTATCATTGTAGTTGTCATTGTTGGTGTTAATGTAAAAATAATAGCAACAATGATGATGATAATGATAATGATACTAATATTGATAATGATGATGATGATGATGATGATGATGATGATGATGATGATGATGATGATGATGAGGAGGAGGAGGAGGAGGATGAAGATGATGATGATAATGATAATAATGGTAATAATAATAATAATAACAATAATACTAATGTTACTATCATTGTCATCATTATTTTATTATTATCCTGATCATTATCATTAATGATAGAATGATAATCATAGTAATTGTTATCATTATCATTATTACTATTATCATTATTATCATTATCATTATTATCGTTACTCATGGTTTTTCATCATAACCTATAAGCATCATTATTAGTGATATTGTAGTTATTATCATAATAGTCATTATCAGTGTCCATAATTGTTGTCATATCATCATTATCATCATCATCATTATTATTATTATTACTATTATTATCATTATAACTATTATTGTCATTGTCATTATTATTACTGTTTTTATTATCATTATTATTTTCATTGTTATTATCATTATTAGTTCTGTTATTATTATTGTCATCATTATTACTATAATTATCATTATTACTATTATTATTATCATCACTGTTATCATTGTCACTATTATTGTTATCATCATTATTATTACTATAATCATTATCACTATTATTGTTATTATTATTATTATTATCATATTATTATTATTATTATCATTATTATTTTATATTATTATTGTAATGATTATTATTATAATCATCATTATTCTTATTATCATCATTATTATTGTTGTCATTATTATCAGTATTATCAGTATTATCATACTCATAGTTATGATTATCATTATTATTTCTATCAATGATATCACTATTGCTATCATTATTATTACCATTGTTATTATTGTCATTATTTTCATTAATATTACTAATATTATCAGGATTATACTCATTGTTATTATCATCATTCTTTTTCATATTTCTATCATAATCAAAGGTTTTATCATCATTTTCATAATCATCGTTATTATGACTATCATTGCTGCTGTTATTGTCGTTATTGCTGTTGCTTTATCATCATTATTAATATTACTATTGTTATTATCATTATTATTATGTCATTATCATTACTATTACTATTATCATCATCATTATCTTTTTTACTATTAATATTATCATTATCATCATTATCATTATTCATATCAGTATTATCAACATTATCATTATCATTACTATCTTTATTATTGATGCCATCATGATTATATTTTTTCATTATGATCAGTATTGTGATAATTATCAATATTATAATAATATCATTATTGTTATTATCATTATTATTATCATATTATTAAATCATTATCATTATTGTTATTATCATTATTATTATCATCATTATCATTATCATTATCATTATCATCATTACAATTTCTATCATTATCACTATCATCATTATGATCATGTTTGTTATCACTGTTATCATTATTATCATCATAATTATTATTATCATTATCATTGTCATTGTAGTTATTATCATTAGTTAATGTTATTGTTATTGTCATTATCTTTTTTTATCGTTTTAGTATCATTACTATTATTGTTATAATCATTATTATCATTTTAATCATTATCACCACTGTCATAATTATTCATATTGCTGCTGTTATTACCATTAAAACTATCATCACCAATATTATCATTACTTTCACTGTTTTCATCATTTGTATCATTATTCTTATTGTCACCATCATTAATGTCATTATCATTTTTGGTTCTCGAATCATTATCATTGTTATAATCGTAATCAACAGTGTGTGGTTGTAGTACTGAATCGTTACTATTTCTGTTATTGT